CCCCTTTGTAGTTTCCTCTGACTTTGTAATTGCGTAAAGAGAGACAACAGCTGGCTAATAAATCTGATATCAGCAGCACCTGCAGAAGCTGTATAAAATATCTTTGCATACTTACTAAAAGAGAATGCTGACAGAACAATTGATTCCAGTGTGATAACTTCAAGAACTTGGAGTCTTCAGGGAGAAAAAAACCCATGCAGCAACAGCAGAGCTAATGCTCTTGGCAGTGAAGCAGATAAACTGGATTGTGAGTTTGACATGGTATTTTACAACAGTATCAAAATATCTCATTTATCAAATCCAGACTATGCAAGACACCCAGGTCACCCTGACCTGTACCAAATTTGAATATAACATTATGTATGTACAGTAGTATACTCAGAACAGTGACAAACAATGGAGATATTATATCTATATGTACTACAGCTAACAGGCTATCTGACTTGTCAATATCATTTTTCCACAATACCATTGATAAGTGAGGGTGTCATTTGTATTATTCTGTATTTTCTTTATTTAAATAATAATTAAAAGTAGAAGCAAAAAGCTGTCTCAAAAGCTTTAAGCAAAGAGTAATAAGTGTTCTGAGTTGTGGGTAATGGTGTATAAGGTATATTAGGGACTGTGGACATCCTTCCTAATATCAGCAGCTTTGCTCGCAACAGCTGTAAATTAGGCTGGGATACCTCACAGAAATATGTGCTCTTCTCAAGGTATTCAATGCAATTGGATAGGGCAGATCATTTCATGAGAGCTTTAGTGACGTGGTGGGGGGCATAAATGAAATGTCCCTAGTGAAGTGGAAAGTAATGTAATTTAAAATTGAATGAGTCTGGAAGAAGGTATCAATTTCACCAGCGTATTCTCCCTTAGATGCATATTAGTTTAGTTCTGAATTTGGCCCAGAAAGATGGTATGATTATGGAGTATGCTCATTCTCTGAGAAGCAGTAGGTCTTGCTTCGGGGGGGGAGCGATAGCTCAGTGGTTTGAGCATTGGCCTGCTAAACCCAGGGTTGTGAGTTCAATCCTTGAAGGGGCCATTTAGGGATCGGGGCAAAAATTGGGGATTGGTCCTGCTTTGAGCAGGGGGTTGGACTAGATGATCTCCTGAGGTCCCTTCCAACCCTGATATTCTATGATTCTATTCTGAATAATAGATAATGATAGCTATGCTTTAGCCTTTGTTACCAAATCTTTTACTAATGGTGATTTTTTGCAGCCTCACAATAAAATGGGAACCAGTAATTTATCTGATTAATGTTAAATAGTTTTAAAACAGGATATTATTTAAATGTAAGCCACCAAAGATATCTCTTTTGAGGCAAAAAATGTATTTCTGAAAAGGTTTGACTTAATTAATGTCAGGGAGGTTATTAATGGATGATTAACAAATGGATTTGGAACAACTTTATACTAACACAGCACCGAAAAGAGATTAAAAATGTATAATATGATGAAACCTTTGTGTTCCATTCAGGCTTGGTAGCTTGCGAAGCATAAGGAAAAAAGACAGATAAAAGATAACTGAAGGGAATTTCGTCTTCCATCAAAATACAACCTGGCATGTCAATTTTCTCTCTATTTGGTGTTTTTCCTATACATAGAAAGTAAACCCAGGAGCCAAGAAGTTATACTGAGTATAGTGACCACATGTAATTGCTTTTTAGGACACCTAGAATACTCTTATTTATCCTGCTCTTTGTAATTGCCTCGTCACCCCCCTTACCACTGCTAGTAGATGATTATTACGGTAAACAGAAAAGTTTTCCTCCACCACAGATTTTAATCCTGATCTTTATGTTATTATCCTTTGAAAAGGCTTTTATGTTGTGCTGCCTTCTGTGCTGCCCCTGACTGAAAAAACTACTTCTTTAAAGGTCCAATCCAATGTCCGCTACAGTCAATTGGAGTTGGATGAGGTTACTGCTGTCTACCATGTCTCTTCTTCTCTGCACATTTTCTAATTCACCAATCTCATTCTCCTTCAAATCCTTCCTTAAAATACATGTTTTTCTATAAAGCCTTTCAAGTTTAACCTCTGTAAAGATTCCCTACATTGTACTGTCACTCAGTTATTTCTGTGTCTGAGCTGGTTTGCTTGTGTCTGACCTAGATTGCAGCTCCTTGGGGAAGCTCTGTATCTCCTTATTTGTTCATATAGCACCAAGGACACATTCAGTGGTCAGTCAGTGCTGTACATAATAAAACACTATGACCATACATCGCCATAGCTTTGGCTTTATGTTTCAGGCTATTTGGAGGGGGAATAAGAAGTCAGTATAATGGTTGTGAAATTGCTTAACTGCCAGCCCAGGGGACTGAAATTCTTTGTCTTCAGGATAGGTATAAAATAGTATCCTGTTTATTTTAACTACTTGCCTCTCAAGCACACTCTCTATTTGCCTGTATAACTCCTTTGGCCTAAGCCACTAATTTCTGCAGCAATTGAGGAAAATACTTTCCAAATTCTCTCAAATGAATTCCTATTTGCACCAGCAGAGTATTTCGCTCTGTGACGGAGCCACTAATGTCCCAGGAGTGCCCCTGCTGGCTGCGTGCAAGCCTACAATCTCTGCTTTGTGCTGCTTGTGGTGGGCCCTGTTGGCAGTTAATGTCTTGAGCAGGTTTTCAGTGACTCCGCCCTCTGGCCAAGTCACACACAGTCTGTATGTGCAAAACAAAACAGACCCCTTCCAGGGTACAAGTTCAATAGGGCCTATCTCAGTGCACTCAGTATCGCTTTTGTCTGAAGCCCTATCCCTGGGCTCAGTTCTAGTCCATAGGGCCTATCACAGTACGCTGATTCAAACTGTCTCAGCCCCTTCTGGGCTCTCTCGCTCTCTCTCAAATGGTCCCTGCTCTGGAATGGAGCAGTGCCCCCAGGGCTTCCTTCCTGGACACTCTTCACTCGGTAGCAAGTCTTACTGGACCCAGCTCTCCAGTTCATTCCCCTTCTTGCGGGGATATCAAAGTCTACAAATGCCTACCCTCTTTGGGGTCTTTAGCCCGCTCACTGGGGCCTGTGGAAACTCCCCTTCTTCAGGGCTTTGGCCACTTCCCTAGTGGCTGGTGGGAGGGGGGGGACAGGCCTGCCCACCACTCCAAGTCCCAACCCAGGGACCCTATAAATAGCAGCCACATGCTGTGCTCCTTTTAACTCTATGGTACTGTTCTCTGGGCCACTTCCCTGCAGCTCCTTCAGCTTTACCTTCACCCTTATCGCAGGGCTAAAGTCTTTTTCTTGCATTCCCACAGCCAGCCAGGAGGACTTTCCTTGCTTCTGCCTCCCCTCCCCCACTTGTCCCTGCCAGCAACTGCTCTGTCCAGGTATTGCAACCAGCCAGGAGCACTGTCCTTACTCATCTGACTACAGCCAGTAACTGCTCTGTCCAGTCTTGCCAGTAGACTGATTGCCTAGTCCCAGCAGGCCCTTTTATACAAGCTTTCTGAGCCCTGATTGGCTGCTTCCCTGCACGCTCTTTCTGATTGGCTGTGTCCCACACAGCTGCTCTAGGCAGCTTGGAGGACCTAATATATCCCATCACAGGTCCATTAGCATTAATGCTGTGCAAAAGCTTTATAATTAATCTTGAAATGAGATGAATGGATTTTGTTTTATTACGAACCCTAAACTCAGGCCCTATTCACTCACTTCTTATTTAGCCATCCTCAGTCCTTAGGAAGCCAAAACCCTCCCCCACCCCACAAGCCAAGATTCTTAGGAACAATCTTATGCTAAGTGGGGGACTTGTCTGCCCCACTTTCAAAGCGAAATGACCCAGAAGCTACTGACTTCTTCACAGTGTAAATCAGCCATAATTCCACTGAAATCAGTGGAAATACAGCACTGTAAAATAACAATGGAAATCTGGAATGTCAGAATGGAGATTTACTCTTACAGTAAGGTACAACGAGAGCATTCCAAGCTCCAGAATAAGGTAAAGTGACATTTCAGCAGCAGCAGCTGATCAAAACTTTTGGGTCACTTTTGGGTGCAAAACTGGGAATAGGAGAGGAGAAGATCATCTGAATATATGGGAAGAGTAAAGTGTTCTCAATGCATAAATTACATCCTCTTAGACTTACTTATGCATCAATAGAGACGATATAAGGAAATATAAGGGAGGCTAAGTAAGTGAAAAGACATTTTAATTTACATCACGTTACTTCCCACTTCTGAACATTGTTCACTACAAATGCCAGTACCCAGGTTGAATTAGCACCCAGTAATCTGGCCCCAGAGCATGCTTTCAGTTGTTTAATTCATCCTGATTTCTTTCTGTTTAATTCTCCCTTATGCTTTCCAGTTGTTTGATTCTCTTGCATTTATTTCTGTACCAAAGATTTCTCTTTAAATATGCTAATTTTACAGAGGGGAAAAACATGCACATTCCACAGTGTTGTAAAAAGTCTTCAGGTTAATTTTATTAGTCAAATACATAAAAATAGAATAATATGAAAGTCTTCAATTAACAAAAGCATCTCTGTTAAGACATTACATAAGCATATTCTTATCTCATTAAAGACAATGGAACTTGTATGCTTATAGTTAAGTATGTGTATTTCCATGAATCAGGACCTTAATTCAGTGAAGTGTCCTTGTCATTTAGTTATGTTTTATTTACGTAACTATTAAATGGCTGCTTAACATATCATCATGGTCAGTCCTGACCCACTAGTTTGTATTCTTTGAGCCTATATGACTGTAAATTATGCCCTGATCCTGCAAACACACATATATGTGCTTAACTTTAAGCATGTGAAGAATCCTAATTATTTCAGCAGGACTACTTTCAAGCTTAACAGTAAGCCTCTGTGCCTACAAAATCAGAACCTTAGTTTCTTCAATATCCTTTTAGATTCATACCTCTCTAACTCTGAGAGCTTGCAGTAGGTGACTATTGACATTTAAGATCTATTATTGTCCTTATATACCTATTACATATGCATAATATGCTCATTACCTTCAGTGGGAGTTATGCATCTCTGAAGGCTGAATTAAACTTTACAAGTGACACCAGCATCTTCATCATGTTTGCAATCTGTCACACCCCAGCCTTTAAATATACAATTTTCAACAGAGGTTTCATAGCCAAAACAAAGAACTTCATCCATCCATATCTGACCAGTACCTGCAATGTTAAGAATAATTTATCTCATATATATTTCAGAAGGATAATTCTTACATGAAACTAAATATTTGTACATCTTATATATAATAACCAGGAATACTGATGGTGGGTATAACATAGTTAAATATAACACTTGACTTAATTTAAAATGCCACAGATTAAATAAATATCCCAGTAAAATTGGTAAAATGGGGTGTGTTAAAGTATTTAAAGGCACCTATTTTTCCCTATAACCAAACTAAGTTGACATCCAAAATCCAGAAACTTGGAAAATATTCTTTGATTGGGAGATAGTTCTAAAATTTTGGGTATTAATTGCCAAATTAATTGCAATGGGTCTAATTAATTTAGGTTTCTTTATACAGAGCACACTACCTTGGTTGTGAAATGACTGACCCACTTGGTACCCACTATGAAGCTTAGCTTCACTATTGGAAACATATATTTTTCTTTTCACCAGTGATGTCAGGATTTGAGAAAGTCTGTCATAGACCCTATACTGTGGAAAATTTTCTTCATTTTAAGTGGTGGTGTGCTTGGGTTTTGGAGCTTGAGGATTTGATCTCTCTCTGTGGCTGTCATGAGTGATGATCATGAAGATCACAAAAAAACCCCATAGATTCCTAGGCGTACAAGGATTTGTTCAAATTATATCTATCACGTATATATGTGTGTGTGTGTGTGTGGTGGGAGAGAGAAATAGTAGTAGTCCTGGGCAGTGGAGGTGGGGGGGGAAACAGTAGAGAAGAAAATAATTTAAAATCTGGTCCATTTTGGTTGTGATTTCTTTGAAAGGCTCTCAGATACTGTGACAATAATTACATTATAACCTTATCTATATGACTGATCACATCAATATGCATTATATAATTGTAATAAACACTTTAAATATAAGTTATAATTATAAAGTTTATTTATATAATCAAAACATTGAGTAAAATGCCATGTTTCGGAGAATACTCCTTGTGGGTTGGACTGACTACTTAACCTGCTGTAGATAAAACAGATGGTTAATTTCTACTTGTCTGTCCTTTTCTCTTAGTAAAACAGTTATTTTATCATTATTTTTTAAATGCACCCTTTAACTTACTTTCCTAAAAATCAGTAGCATGGCTTTGAAAATCCAATTAATTGTATGTATCTTATCTTGCTACTGTTCCATAAACAGTTCTTTAGCTACCCAACTTTAGCTGTGATTCGGGGGCAGGAGGGTGCATGGGGGGGAGATATAAAGGATACCTAGACTATATGAATTTAAAAATTCGTTTGAGTACCTTGTCCAAAATAGGCACCACTGTGAATTCTAGATGCTGTTGAATACCCCAGACTCTTACAGACCACTGCTCCATCACGAATATCCCAGTGGTCATCACAGATAGTACCCCATTCTCCAGCATGAAAAATCTCCACTCTACCTTCATTAGGAACATGTCCTCCTACAAGTTGAATACTGGAAGCTGGAGCGGAGAAAATAAAGGTAGGGTCTGATTAGATACAAACTTGATACCATGATTCATACAGGGAATATTTCAGTGGGTTTCAGTCATATGTAATAAAGAGTTAGAATGCAGGCATGGAGGTCAGGAGTTGGGGGTGCTGTCACTGCTCCTGAAATTCACTGTGTGACACTGGGGAATCAAAAAGAAAAGGAGTACTTGTGGCACCTTAGAGACTAACCAATTTATTTGAGCATGAGCTTTCGTGAGCTACAGCTCACTTCATCGGATGCATGCCGTGGAAACTGCAGCAGACTTTATTTATACACAGAGAATATGAAAAAATACCTCCTCCCACCCCACTGTCCTGCTGGTAATAGCTTATCTAAAGTGATCATCAGGTGGGCCATTTCCAGCACAAATCCAGGTGTTCTCACCCTCCACCCCCCCACACAAATTCACTCTCCTGCTGGTGATAGCCCATCCAAAGTGACAACTCTTTACACAATGTGCATGATAATAAAGTTGGGCCATTTCCTGCACAAATCCAGGTTCTCTCACATCCCCCCCACCCCCATACACACACAAACTCACTCTCCTGCTGGTAATAGCTCATCCAAACTGACCACTCTCCAAGTTTAAATCCAAGTTAAACCAGAACATCTGGGGAGGGGGGTAGGAAAAAACAAGAGGAAATAGGCTACCTTGCATAATGACTTAGCCACTCCCAGTCTCTATTTAAGCCTAAATTAATAGTATCCAATTTGCAAATGAATTCCAATTCAGCAGTTTCTCGCTGGAGTCTGGATTTGAAGTTTTTTTGTTTTAAGATAGCGACCTTCATGTCTGTGATTGCGTGACCAGAGAGATTGAAGTGTTCTCCGACTGGTTTATGAATGTTATAATTCTTGACATCTGATTTGTGTCCATTTATTCTTTTACGTAGAGACTGTCCAGTTTGACCAATGTACATGGCAGAGGGGCATTGCTGGCACATGATGGCATATATCACATTGGTGGATGTGTAGGTATACGAGCCTCTGATAGTGTGGCTGATGTTATTAGGCCCTGTGATGGTGTCCCCTGAATAGATATGTGGGCACAATTGGCAACGGGCTTTGTTGCAAGGATAAGTTCCTGGGTTAGTGATTCTGTTGTGTGGTATGTGGTTGTTGGTGAGTATTTGCTTCAGGTTGCGGGGCTGTCTGTAGGCAAGGACTGGCCTGTCTCCCAAGATTTGTGAGAGTGTTGGGTCATCCTTTAGGATAGGTTGTAGATCCTTAATAATGCGTTGGAGGGGTTTTAGTTGGGGGCTGAAGGTGACGGCTAGTGGTGTTCTGTTATTTTCTTTGTTAGGCCTGTCCTGTAGTAGGTAACTTCTGGGAACTCTTCTGGCTCTATCAATCTGTTTCTTTACTTCAGCAGGTGGGTATTGTAGTTGTAAGAAAGCTTGACAGAGATCTTGTAGGTGTTTGTCTCTGTCTGAGGGGTTGGAGCAAATGCGGTTGTATCGCAGAGCTTGGCTGTAGACGATGGATCGTGTGGCGTGGTCAGGGTGAAAGCTGGAGGCATGCAGGTAGGAATAGCGGTCAGTAGGTTTCCGGTATAGGGTGGTGTTTATGTGACCATTGTTTATTAGCACTGTAGTGTCCAGGAAGTGGATCTCTTGTGTGGACTGGACCAGGCTGAGGTTGGTGGTGGGATGGAAATTGTTGAAATCATGGTGGAATTCCTCAAGGGCTTCTTTTCCATGGGTCCAGATGATGAAGATGTCATCAATATAGCGCAAGTAGAGTAGGGGCTTTAGGGGACGAGAGCTGAGGAAGCGTTGTTCTAAATCAGCCATAAAAATGTTGGCATACTGTGGGGCCATGCGGGTACCCATAGCAGTGCCGCTGATCTGAAGGTATACATTGTCCCCAAATGTGAAATAGTTATGGGTAAGCACAAAGTCACAAAGTTCAGCCACCAGGTTAGCCGTGACATTATCGGGGATAGTGTTTCTGATGGCTTGTAGTCCATCTTTGTGTGGAATGTTGGTGTAGAGGGCTTCTACATCCATAGTGGAATCAGTTAGCCTCTTTATGTCTCAGTTTCAAAACCTGTAAAATGAAGGATAATATTTGCCTAACTCAATGAGTTGCTGGGCAATTTGAATCATTGATGCCTTTGTAGTCCTTGGATGGAATCTTATAGAAGTGTAAAGTATGACATCACCATTTGCAGATGAAAATGTAGAATTGCAAATGCTTCTTGCTAATCTTCTTACAGTGGATTTCCATGATCTTTGTTAATTTGGGTACAGTACTATGTATGTGGTTGAGCTACTTGCAATTGGTGTAGTTCAAGTATCCATACTATTAGATCTGTCAACTGCCTTTGATGCTGCTGATCTATGAGGCTTTGTCAATTCACCAGTGGACATTGTTGCTCTGTTCCTTGCTGTCTGAGTAGTCCCATAGACCAGGCTTGTGCAATGGCTTTTTTCCCCCTCTCAGGATGCTCTCATTTGGGCTTTCCCTGGGTTCCATTTTGCTACCCATCTTGTGCAATATGAGACTGTTCAAAGGGTGAGTGAGGAGACAGGGAATATGATGTTTTCAGTATGCTGTTGGTGCCCAGCTCCTGGTCTCCATTTTGTCTGTAGGTGCAGCTTAGCCTCCTGTCCAGTGTCTTGTAGAGACTAGGCACAGATGAGAATGCTAACTGGTTGAGGTTTAATCAAGATAAGACAGAAGTGAAATGCATAGGTGAGAGAAAATCCCTTGCTAAGGATTATTTCTGCCCTTCTCATGACAAGTATGTGTTTGTGTTCACAATTTGGAGGTTTGATTAGATTCCCAACTTCTGTTAGACCAGGTAACAGCAAAGAGCAACACAGCTGTTTCCCGCCCCCCCGATATTCTTGCAACTCTCTCTTGTGCATGTAGACCTTATTACCATTATCTATGCTTTTTTCTCACAAAGATAGCTTACTGCACTGTATTCTACCCAGACCTACACCTTAAATCCAGCTGGAAACTGAAGATGGTGCAAGCAGCAGCTGTGGTAAGTAGTGCCTCCCACATTGCATGTCACATGAGTGTTCCAGGATCTGCATTGGCTTCCTTCTGGCTTATAGGTGGAATTCACAATTTTTGTCTTGAACTAGAAGCCCTGAATAGCTACCTCCTGAGACACTGCCTCACTTACTGCATGATATGACACTGCCAAAGCTGAGAGTGATCCTCATATGAGCATTAATGCTAGGAGTTTTTTTATTATTTATTTAACACACAGTGCTTGTTCTTTAATGTTAGGATTAATACTTTCAAGTAACAGTGAAGAGTACTGGGGACCTTCTATTTACTATATGTTCTGCGTTTGTCTTAGCTGGATTTTTTTTTTAGAAACACTATAGAAAAAAATGTTTTTGCCGGAGATGACTTCTTTGGAATCTCAAAACATCATCTTGAGGATAATTCATCTGTTTTATGAAACCACCTCATTAACTCAACCAAAATGAATTATTATTTTACTATGAAGCATTGTGGGCCTATTCATCTATCTTTAGCATGCCGTTAAGGAGGGGTATTTGCAGCATGGTTCATCTCATATTCCAATCTACTCATAAAAGATAGAAGCATGTGCGCCATAAATCCGTTCAGCTCATAAAAATGAGAGATTGATAATACTGCTTAAAGGTAGACATAATGTAAACCAGTGGTCTCCAACCTTTTTACGTCCAAGATCACTTTTTGAATTTAAGGGCAACCCAAGATCTACCCTGCCCCTTCTACAAGGCCCCGCCCCTTCCCCAAAGGCCCACCCCACTTACTCCATCCCCCACCCCCACTCTCACTCACTTTCACCAGGAGGGGGTGTGGGCTCTGGGCTGGAGCTGAGGGTTTCGCAGTGTAGGAGGGGCTCTGGTCTGAGCCTGGGGTAGGTGGGAGTGGGGCAGGAGGGGGTGAGGGGTGCAAGCTCTGGGAGGAAGTTTGGGTGCTGGAGGGGGCTGTGGGCTGGGGCAGAGTGTTGGGGTGTGGGCGGGGAGTGCGGGGAGTGCGGGGTGTGGGCTCTGGGCTGGAGCAAAGTGTTAGGGTGCAAAAGGTACAGGGGGATGGGTCTGGGACAGGGGGGTCAGGGTTGGGGCAGGGTATTGGGGTGCAGGAGGAGGTCTGGGGTGCTTGCTCTGGGAGGGGGGTCAGGGCTGGGCCAGAGTATTGGGGTGCAGGAGGGGGTGGGGGTGCTGGCTCTGGGGTTTGGGATGCAGGAGCGGGTATGGGCTGCTGTCTCTGGGAGGGGGCTCAGGGCTGTGGCGTGGGGTGCAGGAGGGGTTTCAGGGTACTGGCTTCAGGAGGGGGCTCAGGCACTTACCTCCGGTGACTCCTGGTCAGCAGCACAGCGTGGCTGATGCTAAGGCAGGCTGCCTGCCTACCCCATCACCATGCCGCTCCCGGAAGGGGCCAACGCACCCCTGCCCTGCTCTGCAAGCACTAGCTGCTTCCAGGAGTGGTGTGGGGCCAGGGCAGGCCAGGAGCCTGCCTTAGTGTCAGCCACACTGTGCATGTAAACTATCACTGTGTAGGCTTCCTGCCATATGCCATGTAAATGGTATAAAAGGAATCTCATGCAACGCTCCTCAAATACAACTGTTTTATTTAATCCCAAATATGCAGCCTATCAGCTCCCACTGTTCAGTCACAGAGCCAGATTCTCCCCTTGCTTACACTGTTAAATCTCCAGTAATAGTTATTCCCATTGTACCCAATGCTTTATAACACAGGAGAATCAGGCCCATAGAGTAGTTACCTGTGATCAGTTTCTATTTCAATCTTAAAGTGACACAGTTTCTTTAAAATGCTGGCTGCAGACTCATTAACCTATGTCCCCATTGTTACAAACATGCTTAGCTGGCCATTCCATATCTAATTCTCTTACACTTTCTCCAATTTCTTTTTAGATATTATCTAGTACAGTTCAATTGTAACTAACTGATGACTTGGCTCAAGGTTTTTGCTTGCATTCACATCACTGGATCCTTCTTA